TGAGTACTCTTTATTTTCTTCTCCGAGGCTATGGGCCCCCTACACTTGCACCAGAGGTGGTACTGAAACGTCGTCGTCCCTTCAATTTCTAGTGTGTGGTCTGGTCAATATTCAATGATATTGTACCAGTCAGGGGTCCTACCATCAACCACTACTCTAGGTCAACGTCTCAGAAGTAAGGTACAATATTTTCCTGTGAGAACGCCATATCATCAGTGAGGGGAAAGGAAGATTCCCGCGCCAGCCATTTTGAATTTCTCGCGCCAGCCATTTTGAATCTCGCGCCACCTGGGTACCACCACCGCCACCCAAGCCCACATCAACGAGCCTTGTGTATGTTGCCTGTACCGTTCCAGCTTCCGCTTGCAGTTCCAACTGTTCTGCAGCTGTGTTGTGCAATTTATTGAGAAACAATTGGTGGACTGCAACCGTCGGACTAGTGTCGCCCAGTCACGCTGCCACATTGCCTCCTCTCCCCACCGCTACAGCCTTCTGCTACATCGGTCTACAGTGAACTTCTGTCTACACGCCTCCATAGCAACTGGCCTTCACTCGCCATTCGACGATATAATTATTGTAAAGCCCCCAACATCACACACATTCCTAGTGTGGGGTCCCCCGAGCTTCGTGCCACGGCCGCCAGGAGCGCTGCCTGTCGCTCCAGATGTAAACAAACCCTCGCATGTGCCTCTTCAGATCTTCACGACGTTCCTCCTATTTTGGCTACTGGTGATTCTCATGAATTTCACCTCTGAGATAAGTAATTGATAGATGAGACCTCTGTGCCAAGTTCTAAAAAGTGATTTACATAATAATATCCATAATATCCTGTGAATTAATTATTCAGTGACTTGTTAAATATTGGAGCTGGTCCAGTACTCCATTTCCACAGTTTCCCTGAGTCATTTCAATATTTCTTGCACCTCTCAGTAATCTTATTGTTCATTAATTGTGTTACTAGTGTTATTAGTAAATACAAAGTTTAGAGAAGTAAGATGTAATTTTTCAGCATTTTATTTTAAACTTTTACCATAGCATGTTACACATGTGCCTGTGTCCAGTTTGTTTTTGCTCAACTCATTTTTCTTGCATTGCCACTTGTTGTGTTGAAACATTTAATGAAATTTTGCAATTGCACTTTCCAGTTTGTATTCTAAATTGCTGTTCTTAACCTGATTTAATTAATTTACATGCTTCTAATTCCAGCCATATTCATACCAGATTGCTAATTTAATTCACAATTTTGCTTGTTTTTAATTTTTTGTTGCCTAGTACAATTTAATAATTTTAATTATTTTTAATTCACAATTTTGCTTTTTTTTTTAATTATTTCTTGCCTAGTACAATTTAATAATTTTAATTCTGCCATTTCCTTACCTTAGCCAAGTTTGATATTTTTTTTATTGTTTTTAATTTTTTGGTGTACTCTATTTCTTATGCCTAGTGTACTTAATTATAATTTGCGATCAACTGCCACTTCCTCGGTAGTGAGAATGCCTACCACTGTTGCAACCCCTTTAGACTCAACTGGAACAGTTGCTCGTCCTAATGTTCAGAGATCAGCTCACGAAATGGTTATTCCATTTTTTGCTGGTGAATCCTGCTTATTAGTCATGGCTTAGTAAGGTTGAAGCGAAAACCGTCACACGTTTTCGCGAGCCTACTGATGCCGAATACTTGGCAATTGCACGGTCAGCTGTTGACTCAACCAAGGATGATGCACGTTTTGCTGTTGATGAGAAAGCCATTGTTAGCCTCCAGTCTTGGTCTGAATTTAAGGATTTCTTACCCGTTTCTTACCCGTATTTCTTAACCCGTATAGGTTAGTCAAGAAAATTGCCAATGCCACCTTGCAGCCTGGTAAATCGTTTAATGTGTTTACTAGCCGTCTCGATCAGTATCTGTATGCCTTAGTGTCTGCTATGATTAGTTCGTCATGGGTAGATAAAGACAATACTCTGTCCCCCTGAGGCTATTGCCAAAATGATAGCATTTGGAACTTTAATACATTTTGCCCCGGAGCATACTTAACCGATCATCGAGCAACAAAATTTTGGAGTTAAACATGAAATTGGTGAAGTGTTTGAGGCTATTAACAATGCCGCCGATAAACTAGCTCCCTGAAGTGCTCAACTGTTGCCATCCTCTGATACTGTGAATGTAGTAACAAGCTCTCAGCATCTTCCCACAAACTCTCAAAACTCTTGGTCGCAGAACCGTACCCATGGTCGTAACCCCCAGTCAAATTCGCCTCCTCATAAGTTGCCGAGACGCCATAGTCCACAACCATCCACTCCCTCATGTTGGCATTGTGGAAAGAGTAACCACCTCGCAAGGGAATGTTGGTCCACTCCTAGATCATCACCTGCTAGACAATTCTCTCGGTCCCCTCGTCAATCTAATCATTCTAGGCTCCCATATTGCAAGTACCATAAACAAGTTGGTCACCACACTGCGGATTGTAGAGCTCGGCAAAGGACATCCCCATCTCGTAACTCCCACGGTCAGTCTTGGCGAGGCGCACAGCGTCCAAGACATTATCAAAACTCGCGTAATTACAACTCCCAGCCCAGCTATAATGCAACTTCGAATTATAATACTCTGTCACAGAATGCTGGAACTCAGAATGTTCACTCCGTGTCATCGGGAAACCCCCAAAGCCATCCGCTATGTAATTAAAGTTAGCCAGTCCTCCCTCCCTATGTATTCAGTAGCTATCCAAAATAGATTTGGACACTTGACAGAGGAGGACACTGACTCTAGCCCCAGTTGTAGATGTTGACGGAACCACAGTGAATTTGATCCAGACGAGATGCAGATATCCCAGACAACATAAGTCACAAGTAGTAACTTGTCCAGTCTCATGTGATGATCCCCTTGTCTCAGCGATTGTACATGATAGAGTTTTAAAAGTTTTTCTTGACTCAGGTGCAAAAATTAATATTGTCAAACCCTCAGCTCTTAGAGATATTGCAAGTAAGCACCCTTCTACAGTAAGAAAATCCCCCATACCTTTTCTAAGCGGTCCGTGTAATTACCACAAGCTACACAAGCTTCACAAAGCTTCCTGGCAATACGTTAGTAATGAATAAGTATGATATATTTACTCATTATAATGTTGGTGCTGAATGTACAACACAAAAAAACATAATTTTAATCTGAAAAAGTATCTTTTTATAAAGAAATTAGACGAAAATAAAAAGCTGGTGACGCCAAATCAAGTCGACGATCCAAGCTTTGGTTAGGTTAGGTTAGGTTTGGTTAAGTTAGGTTAGGTTAGGTTAGGTTAGGTTAGGATAGGTTAGGTTAGGTTACGTTAGGTTACGTTAGGTCAGCCTAACCTAACATATCATATTTATTCATTACTAACATATTGCCAGGAAGCTTTGTGAAGCTTGTGTAGCTTGTGGTAGCTTGTGGTAATTAGACGGACCCTTTCTAAGTGGTGTTTCAGGAAATAAAGTAAAAGTTCGGGGTGAAATTGACCTCCCACTCAAGTTAGATGACGTCACATTGTCTATAACATGTTTAGTTGTTGACAATATAAATTTTCCTGGCGACATTCTCCTAGGTCTGTACACCATGATTGATGAAAATATTGCATTGTTTCCCCATTGTTGGAACATTAGTATCCCCCATAAGAGGCTGGTATATAAGCTGGAGAGGCAGGCAGGAGTAACTGGTAAAGTGCTCCAGTGGATAAGGGAATTCCTGAGCAATAGGAAGCAAAGAGTTACAGTGAGGGGTGAGACCTCAGATAGGCGTGAAGTCACCAGTGGAGTCCCACAGGGCTCTGTACTCGGTCCTATCCTGTTTCTGATATACGTAAACGATCTCCCAGAGGGTATAGACTCATCTCTCTCAATGTTTGCTGACGATGTCAAAATTATGAGAAGGTTTAAGATAGAGGAGGACTGCTTGAGGCTTCACAAAGACCTAGACAAACTAAAGGAGTGGTCGAACAAATGGTTGTTAGAGTTTAACCCAAGCAAATGTAATGTAATGAAGATAGGTGTAGGGAGCAGGAAGCCAGTTGCAAGGTATCATTTGGGAGATGAAATTCTTCAAGAGTCAGAGATAGTGAAAGACCTGGGGGTTGATATCACGCCAGACCTGTCCCCTGAAGCCCATATCAAGAGGATAACATCAGCAGCATATGCCAGGTTGGCTAGCATAGCCAACCTGGCCTGATGGTCCAGGACCAGGATGGTCCTTGGCCATCAAGATATGGCATTAAGACACTTGTGCAAGGAATCATTCAGAACTTTGTATACCACCTATGTCAGACCAATCCTTGAGTGTGCAGCCCCAGCATGGAGTCCATATCTAGTCAAGCATAAGACTGAACTGGAAAAAGTTCAAAGGTTTGCCACCAGACTAGTACCCGGGCTGAAAGGTATGAGATACGAGGAGAGACTACGGGAATTAAACCTCACGTCGCTAGAAGACAGAAGAGTTAGAGCGGATATGATCTCCACATACAAGATTCTCAGAGGAATTGACAGGGTAGATAAAGACGGGCTATTTAACACAAGGGGAACACGCACTAGGGGACACAGGTGGAAACGGAGTGCCCAAATGAGCCACAAATATATTAGAAAGAATTTTTTTAGTGTCAGAGTAGTTGACAAATGGAATGCATTAGGAAGTGATGTGGTGGAGGCTGACTCCATACACAGTTTCAAGTGTAGATATGGTAGGGCCCAATAGGCTCAGGAACCTGTACACCTGTTGATTGACGGTTGAGAGGCGGGACCAAAGAGCCAGAGCTCAACCCCCGCAAGCACAATTAGGTGAGTACAATTAGGCGAATACAAAGAATAGCGAGACAATGGCAGTAATGATGGGCGCTGTCTCAACAATCACGTCTATAGGGTAGCTCCAAGGTCGTCAATTCTAACCGATGCTAAGGAATTAATGCAATATATAAATACAGGAGATGCATTTAGAGTTGTATAATTTAGATATAATTGATCAATAAAACAAGATTCATAACCAACCTGTAGCCGCAGCTGCTTCACTGCCCTTCTCGTTGACCTCCAAGAAAGCTTTGTGGACCACTTTTGAAACATAAAGGTTTCTGTTTCCTGTGATCCTGGATAAATCACAGCTTCCTTCATCAAATAGATCCCTCACTCCCATCTAGAAGACAACAAATATTGACATAATATCAACAATGTAAATTGATGATAAAAATATAAAAATATTTATTTATAAAATATATTATATCGAGTCTGATTAAGGTCTGATATCGAGGCCCATACCTTCACGACGGTATGGTCCTGGACCATCAGGACCATACCTTCACGACGGTATGGTCCTGGACCATACCTTCACGACGGTATGGTCGTGGACCATCAGGGCCATACCTTCACGAAGGTATGGTCGTGGACCATCAGGCCCATACCTTCACGAAGGTATGGTCCTGGACCATACCTTCACGACGGTATGGTCCTGGACCATCAGAGCCATACCTTCACGAAGGTATGGTCCTGGACCATCAGGCCCATACCATCACGAAGGTATGGTCCTGGACCATACCTTCACGACGGTATGGTCGTGGACCATCAGGGCCATACCTTCACAAAGGTCTGAGAAAGGTTTGTGATTGGATGGGTGGGTGATGGGCAGGGTGTGTTGGGGAATGTTGATGGCGTGAAGATGTTTATGGAGACGAAGACAGTGATTACTGAAGATAGTTACAGCAATGTAGGAGAGGGTGAGGTGTGTGTAGGGAGAGACAGGAAAGGTGTGCTCAGGGAAGGAATGGGAGGGTGTGTGTGGTGAGATAGGGAGGGTGTGCTCAGGGAAGGAATGGGAAGGTGTGTGTGGTGAGATAGGGAGGGTGTGCTCAGGGAAGGAATGGGAGGGTGTGATAGGAGTGACAGGGTGTGCTCAGGGAAGGAATGGGAAGGTGTGTGGGGGATAACCTGGGCACCGGATAGACCCGGGCACCGCCGGGTACCCCATCTAGTTATTCTATATAAAACATAATTTGAATTCATTTAATTACACAAATATTTGCCAACTTGAGTATGAGGTATTTTTCACTAGATTGTTTCAAGTGTAAATTACACAAAAATATAAAGACGTTTGGGTGGATATAAAACGGAGCTGCATGGGCCAATAAGCCTTCTGCAGCTACTTTTATTCTTATATTCTTATGATAAACAGCTCTTGTCTATGGCAAGAAAATTTACCTCTCTCAGATGACTGACTAAATCCAATGATTCTTCCAGTTTAAACTTGGGTAAAGTAACTTTCACTTCAACTGTCATCAGCGTATCAATGTTGTTTAAATCTAAACTGTCCAGATTGGTCTCAATCTCTGGAAGTCCATCACGCTTGTCTGGCAACACAAATACTATGCTCAGCCTTGATCCCTGCAAAGATACATTTATAATTACTTGTGAATAACATTGAAACTTTATCTATATGAAATAAGCACTAAACATATACATTATAAGCCGGACAATTTAAAGTGCTTACTCTGACCGACGTAAAGATGCTTAATGTTTATGTTCATTCACGCCCTGCCACTTGGACTGGACGGTAGAGCGACGGTCTCGCTTCATGCAGGTCACCGTTCAATCCCCGGCCGTCCAAGTTGTTAGGCACCATTCCCCCCCCCCCCTGTCCCATCCTTATCCTGACCCCTTCTCAGTGCTACATAGCAGTGATGGCTTGGCGCTTTCCCTGACAATTCCCTCCCTCCCTATTGATATTCCTCTCATTGTGTCAAGTTCTTTGATCAAGCAGTCATTGATGATCTTCAACTTCCCCTACTTGTCTTCCGACTCAGTCTTAACTAACTCCTTCACTTTCATTGGTATATATATGTCGTACCTAGTAGCCAGAACGTACTTCTCAGCCTACTATGCAAGGCCCGATTTGCCTAATAAGCCAAGTTTTCCTGAATTAATATATTTTCTCAAATTGTTTTCTTATGAAATGATAAAGCTACCCATTTCATTATGTATGAGGTCATTTTTTTTAATTGGAGTTAAAATTAACGTAGATATATGACCGAACCTAACCAACCCTACCTAACCTAACCTAACCAATCTTTATAGGTTAGGTTAGGTTAGGTAGCCGAAAAAGTTAGGTTAGGTTAGGTTAGGTAGGTTAGGTAGTCGAAAAAAATTAATTCATGAAAACTTGGCTTATTAGGCAAATCGGGCCTTGCATAGTAGGCTGAGAAGTGCGTTCTGGCTACTAGGTACGACATATATATATATATATATATATATATATATATATATATATATATATATATATATATATATATATATATATATATATATATGTCTATATATATATATATATATATATATATGTCGTACCTAGTAGCCAGAACGCACTTATCAGCCTACTATGCAAGGCCCGATTTGCCCAATAAGCCAAGTTTTCCTGAATTAATATATTTTCTCTAATTTTTTTCTTATGAAATGATAAAGCTACCCATTTCATTATGTATGAGGTCAATTTTTTTTTTATTGGAGTTAAAATTAACGTAGATATATGACCGAACCTAACCAACCCTACCTAACCTAACCTAACCTATCTCTATAGGTTAGGTTAGGTTAGGTAGCCGAAAAAGTTAGGTTAGGTTAGGTTAGGTAGGTTAGGTAGTTGAAAAACAATTAATTCATGAAAACTTTGCTTATTAGGCAAATCGGGCCTTGCATAGTAGGCTGATAAGTGAGTTCTGGCTACTAGGTACGACATATATATATATATATATATATATATATATATATATATATATATATATATATATATATATGTCGTACCTAGTAGCCAGAACTCACTTCTCAGCCTACTATTCAAGGCCCGATTTGCCTAATAAGCCAAGTTTTCCTGAATTAATATATTTTTTCTAATTTTTTTCTGATGAAATGATAAAGCTACCCATTTCATTATGTATGAGGTCAATTTTTTTTTATTGGAGTTAAAATTAACGTAGATATATGACCGAACCTAACCAACCCTACCTAACCTAACCTAACCTATCTTTATGAAAACTTGGTTAGGTTTGGTTAGGTAGCCGAAAAAGTTAGGTTAGGTTAGGTTAGGTAGGTTAGGTAGTCGAAAAAATTTTAACTCCAATTAATTCATGAAAACTTGGCTTATTAGGCAAATCGGGCCTTGCATAGTAGGCTGAGAAGTACGTTCTGGCTACTAGGTACGACATATATATATATATATATATATATATATATGTCGTACCTAGTAGCCAGAACGCACTTCTCAGCCTACTATGCAAGGCCCGATTTGCCTAATAAGCCAAGTTTTCATAAATTAATATATTTTCTGTAATTTTTTTTCTAATGAAATGATAAAGCTACCCATTTCATTACGTATGAGGTCAAATTTTTTTTATTGGAGTTAAAATTAACGTAGATATATGACCGAACCTAACCAACCCTACCTAACCTAACCTAACCTATCTTTATAGGTTAGGTTAGGTTAGGTAGCCAAAAAAGTTAGGTTAGGTTAGGTTAGGTTAGGTAGTCGAAAAACAATTAATTCATGAAAACTTGGCTTATTAGGCAAATTGGGCCTTGCATAGTAGGCTGAGAAGTGCGTTCTGGCTACTAGGTACGACATATATATATATATATATATATATATATATATATATATATATATATATATATATATATATATATATATATATATATATATATATATATATATATATATATATATATATATATATATATATATATGCAATTGACGATCACAAAACACTGATCATTTTATGCGGAAAATCCACAGAGAAATATGAAATGAGGTGAACGTTTCGGCTTTGTTAAAGCCTTTGTCAACACCAGACTGACTAAGGAGAAGGGAGAAGGGGGGAAGATATATAGGCCGACACCTGACCACCCCATCCCAAGGGTTGGTCAGGTGTAATTAACCAAAAACAGGTATAGCTTAGCTTAGAATGGTCAAAGAGGATTAAGCGGTCAGAGAATAAGGATGAAAGATTAAAGAAAAGCCTCATGAACACACAATATATGAATATACAATTATAATGAGACATTGTAAGCCTCTCTATCAGAGTTGTTTCTTAAACTGTTGTGCAATATTATAACTTAAAAATGGATCAAGTTTGTACATTCCAGTACTAACATTAAGAAGATTTGGACACTGACTGATTAGAGCAGACTCAATCAAATTCCGTTCCACGAAATCCCCACAATTGGTAATGCTTTTTGCCCCATTCCAGTTAATATTGTGATCGCATAAACTCGTATGTAGATACAATGCATTAGACGTTTGGGCAGTTCTAATACTATAAGCATGTTGTGACAACCGCAATTGTAAGGACTTTCCTGTTTGTCCAAGGTACACAGAATCACAATCATTGCAGGGAATCGAATACACACAACCTGCTGTATCAGGGGAGTTTTTTATTAAATTGGATTTGATCGTACTATTAGTGAACACCAAATTTATATTAAGTTTCTTAAAAATCAGAGACAATTTTTCAAGTCCACTCGCATAAGGTACCACCAATGAGTTAATAATTTTTGGTTTCGCTTTAGGGACGTGATTATAAAACGTACGCTTGGCTTGTACAAACGAGAAATCCAAAAACCTCTTAGGATATTGTAAACTCTTCCCAATTTCATATATTTTAGCAATCTCTTCATCAAAAAACTCAGGGCTGCAAACCCTCAAAGCTCGTAGAAACATTCCTGAAAATACTGCCTGTTTAACTTTACTATGATGATTCGAATAAAAATGAACATACGACCCCACGTTGGTAGGTTTCCTATACACATTAAATTTGAACTTTCTAGTGACTCTATGAATCATAATGTCCAAAAACGGAAGAGTACCATTCTCCTCAGTCTCACAAGTGAATTTTATTGAAGGTACCAAAGAATTGAGTTCATTAAGAAAAACTATCTGGTCTTTGTCACACGGCCATAAGCACAAAATATCATCAACATACCTATACCAAACCACATTAGCCGGGATAATCCTGGATAAGATTTTTGTTTCAAAGAATTCCATATACAAATTGCTTAAAACTGGGGACAGGGGATTGCCCATCGCCATACCAAATGTTTGTTTGAAAAATTTTTCCATTAAAACTAAAATAATTGTCTTTTATACACAATTTAATAAGTTCCAATACTTTATTGGTCTGCAAGCTCAAATTATATTTAGGCAGTTCCTCACGTAGAAATTCTAGTTAGTGTAATATACCCTAAGTGAATTGTTATTTTGAGGCCCTTCTCTTTCCCTGATCATTTTGCCAATTTGTTTCTCCAACAAAAACATACTTTTATTACCTCTTTCCTCCCTATCAATTCCCATATGTTACGGTGCCCTCTCCTATTTCTTTCGTTTGCCGGCTTAAAGAGTCATATCAGCTCTCCCTACTGATTCTCTGAGGTTCAGGGAGTCTAATGATATATGTGGCGACCAGACCGGCTGCCAGTTAATAAAAGGAAGTTATATTATAAGTTGTAAATAAAGGAAAATTGGCGCCCTGTTATAAAATGAAACAGTATCCCCTGCGGCAGATATGACCTTTTGGAAGGGAGACAAGCCGATCGCGGATTGGCCGACGTGGTCGCGGGCGACAAATCAGGGCCCGCCATGACGTCACCGAGTGCCCCGGGCGGCGCCAACGTCAGAGTTGTACTGACCGTGGAAGCGACAGGACGCGCCTCGGTCTGCTCTCAAAGATTGGAGGCTCTGCAAGCCTTGTTCAGTGGATTGAGCTGGCCTTCGCTGCCCCTCACAGTCATTGGAGACCCTGCGCTTCTGGGAAGCCAAAGAGGAACCAAGTTCAGTGAGCAGAGAAGTGCCAAACTTGGAAAACAGTCGGCGACGACGCTGGGCGGCGCCGCTGGCTGGACGTTGAGGTCTGGAAGGTGGGCGAGCAAGCCCTGCTGTGACTGGGGTCACATCCACTGAGAATCTTGGAAGGACGACACAGTGCCTAGGACAAGGAGCGACGCCCTGTGGGAGAGGCGAGTGTGGGGAAAAATAGTGATTAGCTCAGCGCCCATCGATGAACCAGGATTGGGGCAGCTGAATCTCAGGGATTGGAACGGCGACGACGCGAAGGCTTTACGACACCTGGGGACCTGTGGAACGTCCTGGATCGTCGAGGATCGACCCCAGGAAGCGTGGGAACCTCACACCATCGAGGGACAGGCGTCGTGAGCCAGGAGTGTAAGGTAGATCAGTTTTCCCTCCCATTACCCCTTGTATGAGTAGGCTAGTTAGGCCACAATATTTACTCGTGTATGTGGCAGCAAGAATTTATTACTTTAATAGTAGAATAGGCTGCAAAGCAGCTTGTGTCCAGGACTGTCAGAGAGGACAGTGGGTATGGATGGCAGGACAGTGAAGA